CCGGTTTCGCGGACCAACAAAAAAACGATCTTCAGCTCTTCCCCTCCCCCATCGTCCTGGACTAGGTATGTTGACGGCACTTCCGTGATTATCAGTGGGAGCGACGCGCGGACATTTCATTCACTGCCAACTACCATATTTCCGGCCGTGTTTAATTCCGTGAGAAGAGAGGTGAACATAAATTTGCCCTTCCTCGACATACAAGTTTCAAAACTGGCATTATCTCTTTGCACAGCGTCTCTGCCTTTTAGGCCGTCAAAATGGCGACTGCGGCAGACTGAATAATGGTTACCGAGTATCCAGTATTGGGCGAAAGTAGAGAGAAATGAGGTGATAGTGTCAATTGTCACGGTATCGCTCGATCACATTTTAAAGAACAATACGATAAGACTAAAAACGCGTAAATTACGTGCTCATCATGGAACTCCTACAAGTATGTCTGAATATTTGCCTTCCTCTAGTCAGAGATGCAGATCGAAGACAGTTTGATTTTCCCAGTATTTATGAATAAATCGGTGAAAGTAGCGATCTTATTCACCCTTAACAACATCGACTGCAGATCAACAAAACTTGAAGCTAGTAAGGCAACCAGTTGAGGAGGGTCGCATCTGGTTCGGTCGACAATGCAAATCGTCTGTCCGGAAATGCAATGCCACATGACACCAGTCTTTTATCCTGCTTATCATTCCAGTTCAAGTCTCACATACTCTAGTCGACCAGACGCCATATCCCACCGGGCTTTTTTGTCGTTTGACTACCTTTTCCTCTAGGTGGTAAGTTCACTGGACCAATACAGGGACCATATCAGGATAAGGCAAGAGTTATTCGAGTTGTGTGCCGATAACATACCGTACATGTAAGGCGTGCCATGCATTCAGGCGGCTTCGAGCGCGCTAGCCACCTCTGCTCGATACCGCCTCCAGTCTTCTTAACTATGTCTTACTATCGGGCTGAGGTGGGTGGGGAAAGAGAGAGCGTGTTGCGCAAGTCTACTGTTCCATTAAAATTAACTCACCCGCAAGTCACCGTCCTTGCATCACCCTGTTGTGGAGCATTGGGGTGGATTTCGTTGACATCGACGGTTGAACTGCCTTCGGTCGTCCCTCGTTCTTGCACATAAACGAACTAT